AAAGACGGAAGCACCATCCGTGTTCGTCGGACCAGAAGAGGGGATGTCCATCCCACGCCATCTTGAGGAGTAGTGGTGAAATGCGAGTACGCACAGAGAGTGACATTGAGGCATCACTGGTGGAGAATAGGTCTCTGTACCATTTAGGCATGCCCGGCTTCTTTCGCGGCATCACGCGCGGGGGGTCATCCGGCAGCTTGGTCTTGAGTTGTTTGACCTCCTGCCCGGACCAGTCGAGCTGCCGAAGCCATGGATCGGCGTTGTATATCTCGGGAGATTTGCGCAATTTCACGGCTTCTTCCGCGAGATCGACGAGGCGCTGGAGAACGGCGTCGGAGAGGCGGTGGTAGGTTGCTTCAGCGTTTGTAATATATGATTCCCAGCCGCGATTGACGGGGAGTATGCAGGATGAGAGGTGACGGAGGGCGGCAAAGGAGATGGGATGCGGACAGACTTCGAGGAAGGCGGGGAACACCTCTTTGTAGACTTTGTGTGTGACCACTACATCCTCGGCGCAGTAGGTTAATAGATTGTCAAGCTGCTCCCTCACACCCTCTGGATCCAAGATTCCAAACTGGTCTCTGATACTCTTGTCCATCTCAATCCCACAGTGAAACAAGGCCACGTCCTTTAGGCTATTTAGAGAGCTCTGTCCAGCCCAATGCCCGCCGCCCTCCAAGCTCTCACTCACTACGAAGCCTTCTTCGTTACGTTGGCCCCCTCCGCATTCTTTTGATCAATCCCTTCTTCTGTTTCGACGTGGCTCCATTCGCAGCGACATGCAAACTCATCGTGTCTAGAAACATTGTTTGCGTTCCAGCTACATTGTACTCTTCCTTCACCCGTACTCTATCGAAACCAATGTTGTGTCCGGCCACTATTCTAGCCTTGTTTGGATCTCCCAGGCTAATCAACTGCCGATCGTCCTTAGTTTCACCCAGCACCCACGGCGACAGCCATGCATACCACGCATGGGGGCTCACGGCGGTCGCCATGACCGCGAACGGAGATATTTTGTACAGGACTTCCACATCAAATACTAGACACTCCTCATCCGGTGACTCTACCTCCTCTGTTCGCCCGTCTGAGTAGTACTTGGTCCACCCCGACTTGTGCACCCACTTCTTCGGTATCGGCGGCACGTCAACGGCGGCAAACCCACGCGCGAGATCCTGATACGGAAAAGCGGCCTCCATACCGAGTTTGTAGAAGTGCTCATCGAGGGAATTCCCAGCGAGCGCTGGCAGTGGGAGCTCTACTGGCTTCGATCTGCTCGGTGGTTTTGAGAGGAGGTCATGGCGCTGGAGATGCTCTTTTGAGAGTTTTAGAAGATCGGGGGAGGGTATTTTAGGAGGAGCGGTGAAAAGCGCATTGTGGACTTTTTGTGGGAGGAGTTGAATTCCTAAGGGGTTGGTTCGTACTAAATATGCAGGTTTGTTAGTTTTTCAATTCTGTCCGGGGTGGCGGTATATATGATGGACTTACTGGAAGTACTCTTTGTAGACTTGTAGCGGTTGCGGAGTAGTTGTAGATGCAGATGCGGCTGTGGTCGGCCGCGAGTGCGGAAACAGGTCGACAGCATCGCGAGTTGATACTCAATGGCAATTTCGCATTGGCGGTGTTGTATGAAGCTTTACGGGGGTGGGGTGTTTGTGGAGGGGCGGATATTTTTTTTCACCGTGATGTCAGGGATTGTTGCTGCCAAGGCTTCGTCGGATAAGATGTATAGTTAATCATTGACGTCCATCTAGTGGCAGAATTTGACGCTTGCTTTTTCCCTCCAAGCTATAACATATTGATAACGTTTAAATGGATGAGATCAATGTTTGACTCAGTACCTGATGTGATGAGCATAACTATATATTAATTCCCTTGAAGTTAACCCTTTATAAAATTACAGTAATTAAGCAACCGGCCACAGATGATATTGATACCCGAATTAACCTTAGGTTTCTACTACAGTGTCAGATGTAAGAATTCGTAATAGCCTTGGGGACAGTGATGAGAACTCCTTTCAGCGCGTCATATTTAGATCTTGGGGTAGATCTGTTGATAGGTCATTTAAGATACCGGTGATAACTAATCATCAATTGTGTTGAAATCGAGCGTCCTATGCTCCCTATTAGTATCAGGTGCGAACGGGTTGAGTAGGGGAGGAAGAACGGGTTGACTAGCAGGGCAGGAAGGCTGGGTTATGACGAGTGAGCATGAGTGATGCTTGCAAGGGCTGTGGTCAACGACCTTTTCTTCTGTCTTTCCTTCTCACTCACTTCTGTATCAAGCACGAGTAAATCAATAAAAGCTTTCATCGCTCCCAACAAATTGCAAGTACATGCAATCGAGCAAACAACAAAACTGATCGATCCCTGGCTCATGAAAGTTTAGGGCTGTTCTATGTACAGCCACTCTGCTAAAGTGTTCGTGATTCAGTTTTAATGTCAGTGCGCAGTGTGGCGCACCCGTGAATTTGATGTTATTAGTGTTGAGGTTCAAAACAACGAAAAATATATAATATAGTTCGTAAGTATTTATAAAAGAAGATAAGTCCTTAAAATACTCTTCATTGATTCCGGGAGCCATTGGTCACTGGGGGAGTCTTCTCTTGGGGTTTTGATGGCCCGCCACGGTTACATATGAAGAAATGTCTCACTCCGAAATCGTAATCACGAACACTTTTGCAGAGTAGCTGTAGTTATTATATTATTAGCAGTAGAAATTGAACCGTGACTTGATAGATGTTACATCTAATATTGGTGTTCGGCCGGTTATACTAATATCATGAACGATCAATTAAGTACATCTAAGCCCACCTCCCCCGGGCCCCCAGGTTTCTAAAGAGGCATCAAAAGCGTAGTAGAGTTTCACTATCTAACTAACCGAATCACCTACGATACAGTGTTTACGAGGGGAATCCAAAATACTGAGGTTCTTTTTGAGGTATGACCGATCATTAGCTCAGTCGAAACCTTTCTTTCTTTCCTTCTTGGGGAGGGGGGGGGGGTTGAGGAAAGGGACTTGCATAAGGGTGTGGTCAATACCCCAATACCCCCCCCCCCCCCCGGTTTCCTATCTCACGAAAACAGAATATATCGCCGTTATATTTTACCTTTTATTCGTTCTGTCTCTGTAGTTTAAAACCGAGCGCGGCACTCCCCGCCGGCTCTTATGATATTTTACAAGCGGAAAGTGTAAATCGCGGGGCAAAGAACAGGCTACAGGCCGGCCGGAAATGAGATTCATATCCTGTTCCTAAAAGAGAAGAATATAGCTGCATGCTCAGGCTTGTGGAAAAGGGGCAAAATTTCCTACCGATCACCCGGACCAGAGACCGAGGAGAAAGAGAGAAGCCAGAGGACAGAGAAAAGTTAATGTTTCAAGGTCCTCAGAATTGATTAGCTTCTTCATTGTTCAAGCTCTTTTGCTGGAAAATTCACGTTCTAGCTTGCATGCATCCTAGAGAAACGCCTTAGACTTAGAAGTTCAAGTACTCTGTCTACATCTTCTTTACCAATTCCCGTTAACTTACTTGCCGCCCGTTTAGCCGCATCACCTTCCATTGAAGTTATAACTCTAGCCGTGTACGCGTTGCATTTGGGGACTTGGAAAGATATCACCCAAAACCATCACCATATAGCTGTTGTTGTTCTAGATCTTGAAAGTTGGAGTTATCTTTAAAAAGTAGTGTGGTCCACGCGCGAGGCATCGACGCCCGAGGACTTGCCTCGAGGCCTCTGCCTCGAGGGAGCTCAAGGCATGGGGGTCGACAAGGCGAGCATGCTCGAGGCAAACCCTCTTGCCCGCCGGCCTCGAGCTGCTCGAGGTTTAGGTAATCATAGTATTAGTGGCATATATTCAGTAGGGTCGATGTTTCTGATAGGAACATTGGAAGCATTAATTTCCTACATTTGCGTTCCAGTATTACAATAAAATACGACTTTGACAGATCTAAATATAGCAATTATCTGCCTCAAGCCAGCTCGAGCACCTCGAGGCATCCCCCATTTTTCACGAGCAAACAAAGGCATGGACAACACGAGGCAGAGGCACCTCGAGCACTTGTCACTGCTCGCCTCGAGCAGCCTCGTGGACCACACTATTAAAAAGATTTGTTTATATCCACTAGCCATGTAATTTTGCAATTTGCGCGCCTCAGACTCACCAGCTTCCCCTTTAGATCGTCTCGACCTTTATTAACACGCAATATCTTCCGTTACTTCGAATTTCTAGTCCAAAGTCCAAGCGATTCCTAGAGGAATTCTGCTGGTCTAATGAAAAGTTGTCGATTCTTCCTGGAATTAACACACGACATAAACATGCATTTCCTCACGGATATGTGTGCATGTGAGCTATCAAGCTATAATAGCCCAAGCTTATATATATTAAAGATTGATCACGATGAGTTGGTCTAGAAATTCGAAAGTACACCGTACCAATTGCAACAGTAGAAAGCTGAGGCCAGAGAATAGTTAGTGAAGTTGTGCCGTGCAAAGATACTTATTGTCTTATTGCCAATACACTTAATTAGCTAGCATATAAGTCATAAAGATTCAATTAGGAACATTGCTGCTCTGAATACGTATTGACTACATGTAGCAGCTCCGCAGCTGGCGATGTTCCGCTCATGGACATGGCCACTAATTAAAGAATCACCTGTTCGAAAGAAAGTTCCTATTACTCCGGTTAATTGCACGTAGTGGAAGGTATCAGCCGGTCAAAGGTTTGTAGACATTGTACATATATATATTAGCGTAATGAGGTTGACTGATTTTGTTTACATCTCGTTTCATGCGGCGCAGACGGAGAAAGCTGTGTGAGCCTCGCCTAGTCAATAATTCCAGATTCCAGCCACACACTCTCTTTCAACCTCCAACGAACTAGCCACGAAAACAACGCCATCCCCAGGCTCCAGTTTCTCGTGAGAACGCCCCCAGACCTCAAAGCGCGCGACGGTCTTGCTGAAACTCGCCTTTTACTGCCTTAAGTACGTGCCGTCTTTCGAAATGGCGCAATCAGCAGCATCTTCGTTCGACGACTTTCAAAAACTGCACAACACACTGATAGATCCCCATGGCCCAAATCTAGCGGTGCTGGCGGAAGAGCTGGAATCACGCACTGCAGAACTGAAGAAGTTGCTCGAGGTTCCACCCAAGAATGATGCCAGTCGAACGAAGATCAAGTCCGGTAAGCTACATACTGCCTCCACGCGTTTCCCGGACGGGCCCGTACTAACTTTACCTTGCGCAGGAAAACTGGAGATTAATGGAGGAGAATACAAGATCAACGAGCAGTTATCCAGGAGGCGACACAGCTGTCAGATGACTTCAACATGGATGAGGTAGAGGCAGCACGGCTGTTATTTAGGGGATCTGAGGAGAAGCAAAAGCTAGATCGGTCGGCCTTCCAAAGCGCCGTCTTTCTCTACCATACTCGTCGACAAAACCTTCTAGAATGCTTACGACTAATACTCTCCTACGCGTTCAACGATAATACAGATCCTGAACTACGAGAGTTGGCCAAGGACACGGTTGATGTGCTATCTCCACTCAAGACTTGTGGGCAAACGTTTGCCGAGAGGTGTATTTCAGCGATGGGGTCGGTGCGGCAATCTGTGGAGCAGTTGAGGGCGAAGGAGAAACATGATCATACGCTTGGGCTAGAGAGTACCCCAAGTAATAAAGAGGAGTTAGAGATGCACGTCCGGTTCCTAATGAATCAGCATGAAGCCCTTGCATCTAGTGTTTACTACTTGGTCAAACTGAAGCGGGCCACAGTCTCAGATTTCAAGGCTCTACTCAACACCGTCAAGACCTTTGAGAAACATGACACATTCACCCTTCATCACATGCTTCCATTGTACGCCTTCATCACTATGCTCTGCGAGACTGATTCACCTCTGAGCTTTGAGGAGACTATCCAACTTCATAAAGAGATGTTGAGTAACTATAAATCATCACCATGGCCGCTAAAATATATTCACGCATCCGTCAATATATTGTGGATAAGCGAATTTAATGGACTCTGCAATGATCCTCCAACCATCGATGCGCCAAGTCTTCAAAAACTAGACTACATGACCGATATATTTGAGCCATCAAAAGAGGCGTTGGAGCAGGGTGCATTTGAATTCTTACTTGCGGTGTGCGCGGACGTTAGTGCCGGGTGGGCCCTCAACGCAGCAAAAGAGGATTTGCACCGATTTTTACAGACTCGAGTACCGCCAGTCGATCACCGTGGTCATATATCAGTACCTTTCAGGTCATTAATGATCATCAGATAGAAATTTTTGTGGACAGTTTCATCTCAAACATGGCAGATGTATTGAAAGATATCAAGACGCGGGAGGAAGAGGACGTATTGTTAGGGCGGAAGACTTTGGGGTATGAGCTAGAGAGATTTTTCCTTATCATTCATTATGCATATTTGGGGCGACGAGACGCCGGAATGGTATTTTGGAGTGATCCAGAAAGCAATTTGCACGGGTTTATCTCTTGGGCATCGATGAGGCAAACACCGTTTATGGCGGCTACCTTCAGCTTTATGCTAGCTTCATTATCGTTAGGCAAAGTTGCCGCCGAACACACCCACAGATTTCTTCTTGACGAGGCCAACCCCGGTAGCACGAAAAGGAGGACAACCTATCTGTCGTGGGATTACATCTTCAAACAATTTCAACTGTATATTGGCCAGTTAGAAAAGAGATCACAGCAGTTAGTCCCAGCGAATGCCTTCAGGCCTCCCCTCCCGCCGCCAATTGAAACTACGGAGCCTGCACCTGAATTGAGTATGATGCTGGACGGATTCATGCGGCTAATCTCTCAAATTGTACAAGAATGTCCGGATGCCAGAAATTGGCTACTTCATGAGAGCCCCTTCAGAATTGTCCCTGCTCTGTTGAGCTTCTCGGGTTACAAGCGTCAATCCAACTGTGGGATTCTATTTTTCAACCATCACTGCTTTCTTGACTGAGAAGACTGAAGTTATTAATGGCGAAATATGGAAAGCAATTGACGATTGGGCTCTTGGAGCTGCTCCCCCAACTACCGCTCTACAACTCGGCGTCATCCCTGGAAAAGCCTTCGCCCAAGCTGGGTCTGAGAAACTTGACGCAGTAGTTACTTCGGTCCATCCTGCGGAGGCCTTTGTGCGTCTGCTTGCCACTTTGGTTTCGCCGGCATTTCATGACCAGCTTAAAGACGCTCTACCATTTCCCGAAAACCTTGGTAGCATGAATCGGTTATCCGGGATCGACCCATACGTCGATTTTATTTTGGGAACGATTTTCTCAAGTACCACGGTGCAGAATCTTCCTCCCGACCTTGTACTTCCGGTAGACAAGCAAGATATCCCAAGCGAAAGGTTGACCCGCTCACAGTACCGGAGTTTTCGTCCAGCGCTCCAATCTAGCTGCTTGACTTTTATTCATACTTGTCTTGCAACATTTAACGAAGATCTTCTCATTATCGCGAGCTCCAACATTTCTCTTGATTCTGCGATGAAATCATCTTCCCTTGAGACCTATGCAAAGCTGCATCCATTTGCCAGGGTCATGGAACATATCCTTACTGAGAAGTGCTTTAACGTTTTCTACGAAATCTTGAAGCTCGGCGTTGAGGATCTACAAGCCACGGACGTACCATTTCCTCTCGTTGAATTAGTCATCAACATTTTGGATCTTGCGTTGCAAATGCAGACAACATTTTTTGAGTTTGTTCGTCCTTTAGTCAAGCGTGACGACGGCATGCGAAAGGTGAACGTAACTTCTAACGGATACGGGTCCATTGAAGAAGCGGTCCTACACCATTTGGATATCGCAGTGTTTTTAGGACTGTTTGTGGGGAGTGCCAACCAGGATATCACCATGGCTGCTTTGAGCCTCCTTGAAAGGCTTTCCACACGGCCAAAATTGGTATCAACGGCAGGGCCATCACATACGTTTGGGCGGAAAATAGGCAGGAATCGTCTCCTAGGGATTATCGAGTCAAGTCCGGAGTCTCGTCGGATTTTGTTCAATTTATTCACCAATGGATGCGGATGTTGATGATGAGAGCCCAGACATGCGGTACCCACTTAAATTTGGTATATTAAAATTGCTTAATAGCAGTTTAGTCGGAACAACCAAATGAGTATACCCTGCTCACTTCTTACTTGGATTCGGATACGACGAACAAGACGGCATTAGTCTTAGTGTTGAAGATGGAGGCATTGGATCTGGAATTGCTCTTCTTCATAGTATTTTGGCGGTTGTAGGATGATGTTGCTGTATCGGATGATGAAGGCATGGCTTTTGATGGAGCTCTGTGCCAGCTGAGAATGAGTGTTTCACTGTATCAAACGGCTGTGGAAAGCGTCTTCCACATCAAGTGAAATGCTTTATGTTTCTTCGAGCTAACAAACTCTTGTTTTCTCAGTTCATGGGGGAGCAGATCCTTAGAACGACTAGCAAGTGGGATGGTGTTCAATTTGGTTGCCTAGAGTTCTTCCAAGAGGGTAAGGCTTTAGGGCTTTGCAATTACATGGAAGACGGGCCTCATTATTCAATTATATTGCGCTGGAAATCCGACAATTGGCCGCTCAAGGGCCTCAACAATGGTCTCAAAATATCTTTCAACACTGCTTGGAGTAACAAATCTCGATGGGGACCCAATGCAAAATATCCACATTATTGACCTTCTCGTACTTCTTGGAACTAGAAGCGCCTGAAGCCTACCAATTCCAAAAATTACCTATTTCCATGACCTCAACCTTGCAACATGTCAACTAAATGACCAATTCGGCAATCCGTCGTTTCACCTACGCAAATATTGAACAAGTTCTACTGCTACGTAAGCAGAGTTACTGACCTCAGGGACTGTACAACCCTCATGACGAAGATGTGGTCCAAGCTGAACTCGCTGAAATTTTAAATTACCTATTGCCGAGAACCAGCTCCGTTACTACAGAGGCGCAAGACTTGAGTGTTTAAAGTCTTGGGCAACGCTAGTTGCTGTCATGTTGGAAGATTGTGAATTCGAACCGGCGGCAAAAACCTCGTTCTGCTACAGGCATTGCAGGCTATCATGCCGAAGGTCGAGTCGTACAGCAGGCAGCGATATTGAGAGTGCTCATGTACTCAGTTCGTTGACACATTCTCTGATCACTCATCTCAGGTTCGACATCAAGACTTTCGGCAAAGGCCGGTCAAGCGACTTGGCAAGTGATCGAATTTACGACCTTTTCCGAGTTTCATTAAGGTGCATCCAGTCACCAATGGCGACAGCAAGGCTACGCGAAGACTTTTATAACATCGCATATCGGTCCCTGCAGGGCACATCGGACCTTCTACAGCAAGGAAGCGCTACCCGCAGTCACAATATCCAAACGATCAAGGCGTCCGGTGACCGCTTGTTGGAGGTTTTTGTGGCAACGATGCCTACTCAGGTGAGGGACAGTGCAAGATAGTTGCACTGTTACTTCTGGAGGCACTTGTTGCACTTGCTGCAGCTGAGTCATCGCATTACGTGGTTGATGCTTTGATGCGACAGAATTTCTTGGTAGTGCTCGTGGATTCAACAAAACAAATCCGCACGGACCTAGTGACCACCAACTCTAATGTAGGTTTTCTAACCTTGGATGTTCCTTCTGCCATCACTAACAGAAAGCAGACATCCCTTACTTGATGCGTTCTTCAAGGCAACCACTGGCTTCCTCGTCCGAATTGCACAGACTAGAGTCGTGCAGGCCATATCATTAATGCTGGTCTCTTCAAAGCCCTTCGCGAGAGCAAGCTCTTCTCTGTTATCCTGACCTTGGGGTCGGATTAACGACCCCAAGGCTCTTGAGAAATACTATGAGCTTCTTACCATGCTACGCGTGTTGTCGTCGCCTGTATTCTTTCCAGAGGCCAGGCCAATCGCCAGGCAATAACCGCAGGAAAACAATTCTTGATGGAAAACCGGCCTGTCGTACTGTCGGTGTTTAAGAGGCATGCCAACATTGGAGTCCACGAATGGAAAATACCAAAGACATGAATGAGTTGGTAGGAATGTTTGTGTTGTTGATTGCGTTAACGGATTTCGTTGAGGTTTGTTTACCCTACAGCAGCCATGAGAGAGAACTGTGACTAATTGATTCACAGTACGAAGAGAGTCTGCCGATACATGCGTAGAGTGAGTCTAAGGTGAGGTTCGATATGCCAGTCTGTTATGCGTTATATAAAGGCACAATTGGGGTTTATGTTTTTTTTTCTTTTGATTCTGGATGGGATCATATGGGATGGTCTGTTCTTATGATACCAACCTGTTATGCTTGGACAACCCAGTAGAGTCCGCTACTGTTCTGTTTTCTTTCCTTTCTCTCGATCTTTTGATGAGTGTCGTGTAAATGTAATGTGCTACAAAATAGTTTTTTTTGGTGCGTGTGTAAGTGGAGTGGAGTATTATGGTTTCAATGGGATTGAACCTTTGTGTGCATTTTTTCGATCCTTATCAAGTGGTTGATGTAACGAGTGATGGTCTATGACTCTAATGTTGAGAAAGAGGGTCGCAACAAAGGACAGGTCTTAATTAGCAGAATGAGGGAGCGGAAACGATAAACTTCCAGATTACTACTCATTCAAAGTGGCCTCAATAGTAACCAAACCCCGGACTCGAAAGCGAGGCTATTGACACCATATCGCCTCTAAAAATCTCTACCAGTAACACCTGTATGTTTGACGCCTTCTGTGGGAGTGGCCCCTTCGTCATTCCTCGGGCTGGAGCTGTGCTCAACCGAACCCAGAAGGTTTCGTGTTTCGGAATTCCGAGTTCGTGGTCCTAAAGCGAAAGGAGGCTAAGCACAGTTGCTCTGAAGTAATACCCCTGGCGGGTATTGGCTAGTTCTAACAGAACAGGTGGGTTAATAGAGCCGTGTTAAAGTGGGGGGGAAGTTGTTTAGTCTTGAGAGTCTCTTAAGCCCAGTAGATGTCTCAGTAACTTTTCAAGTGCCCCGCCCAGGTTCTCAGTTAGGGTAGAGCCCTCAGCTTCAACCCCGGGCCGCCAACCCCCAAACCCTGCAGTCCGGCGCGAGAGTACCTCTTCTCCTACTTTACTACTCTTTTGCTCCTCCCTTTGTCCACTCATCACCCCCATACCACGTGGTATGTCAGAGCACAGCTTTGGCTAGGTGTCTTTCTAGGAAGATAAAAAGGCAGGGCACAAAGACCATGAACTAACATACAGATAACACTAAAAATCATGCTGTGGGGGCGAGAACCGGGCAGAGAACTTAGGGTCATCTGAAGATAATGCTAACGACACAACCTCAATCCATTGCAGAGGTTGCCGCGCGAGTGCAACTAACTCAAACGATGGATTAAGCCTTAGCACTCTACATCATGGCTGGAACCCCGTACGTTACTGCGCAGAAAAGTTAAGCACGGCGTCGGAAGAATAGATGAAGCACCCTAGATTAATATAAACAGTCGTAGCTACCAACTACACGACTGCTGGTCTGAAAGCGGTTGAGGTGAAGCTAGATATGGCATAGGCACTCAAAAATCACTGCCGACATACCACTACTATCGGTCTTCCCCTCCAAGAGATCACGGCCCGGCTATTTGGATCGCGCTACTAGGAATGTCCGGCGAGTGATATATTGTGATGCACATGGAATAATCACTACATACAAGAAAATGCAGTCCGGCGCACTTCCTGTTGTGCTTTATAGCAACCTTGCATTGCCACTTTATATTGTGGTAGATACTGCGTTCCAGTACAAGAAAGATTTAAACTAAGGTCTAAGGTTGTGCCAATCACGATACAGATGATTGATATGCAGCTCGTCCTGACCGAAAGGTGCTCAGCGAGTACTAGAGGAACCAAAAAAGTGCAAGTGCTATTACCTCGGAAAAATAAGAACGTGCGTACGGATCTTCACTCTATTTGTGTATGTTTGTGCTACGCAAGTTGGTTTTAGGTGTATAGCCCTTAGGGAGCTCATATAAGAGCGATGACCGACTGATAACTA